CTTGTAACTATTTTCAATACAATTAAGATAAAGAGGCGCCAATTATCAACTCAACTCTCGACATTTATTGAAAATTTAAAAAACATTAAGGTATGTCATATCGCAGATTATTAACATGCTAGCGCAAACATCGTTAAAATTGTAACTCGTAAATATTTACTGTTTGTACAGAAATTATTCTTTTAAAAGTAGTTTTACTTAGTGTACGCTGTACCACTGCCACTACCGAGAATGTTGACGACTCCGTGGCGCAGTGGCTTAGCAATGAGTTACAGCGCTAAGGGCCGCGGGTTCGAATCCCGCACGGAACAAGTATTTGTATAGTCTACAAGTAATTTTTCCTGGTCTGGATGTTGGTCCTTGTGAAATTTATGTTTGTAAACTGTCCCCGTGATATAGAGGAAAATCCTAGTGTGTAGGTAACGTTTTCTTTTAAGAAAAAAAATACTAGTTAATAAATTGACTAAATTTTTAATTAATGTTGCTAAAAATTAATTATAAACTAATTATTAATTATTAGCTAATTAATTATAAGCTAATTATTAATTATTAGCTAATTAATTAATAATAACTTTAATTAAAAGTTTAATCCATTTATATTATATTAACTTGGGTTGAATAAGACTAAAGAAACAGAAACAGAAACTTTTTTATTCAATGTAGATTATAAACAATACTTATTGAAAGTCACTTTTTTCATTTACCACTGGTTCGCAAAAAAAACCTCTGTCCTGGGAAGAACCAGCAAGAAACCCAGCGGGACTATTTTTTTTTTCAAATAATAGCTTACAATCATGTTTACAATTATCAACACAAGACAAATTAGAAATAGCTTAGTAGCGATCACCCTTCCCAGGGGTTATTATCATCCATAAATTCCTTAATATTATAATAACCCTTTTTATACACACTTAGTTTAATAAAATTTTTGAACTTTGCGTATGACAAATTTTGTATATTTTCTGGGATTTTCTTGTAAAAGCGTATACATCGCCCCAAGAATGAATTACTGACTCGGTGGAATCGAGTAACTGGTACTACTAGCTTGTGTCTGTTCCTAGTATTTACGGAATGAATATCACTTATTTTTGCAAAACTACGTTTATTCTTATGTACGTACATTACATTTTCATAAATGTATTGAGAGGCCAGAGTTAATATATCAATTTCCTTAAATTTTTGTCTAAGTGACTCTTTTGGTTTTAAATTATATATTGATCTAATGGCTCTCTTCTGTAAAATAAATATAATTTCAGTGTCAATCGCGTGTCCCCATAGCAAAATACCATACGACATAATGCTATAGAAATAACTAAAGTAAACTATTCTAGCTGTTTCAACACTGGTAAGAGTTCTAATCTTTTTACAGTATATGCTGCAGAACTAAGTATGCTAGCTAGTTTTGATATATGGGGGAGCCATTGAAGCTTTGCCTCTAGTGTGATTCCAAGAAAAATGGTGGTATCAACAAGACTCAGTTCTTCCCCATTTAAAATTACATTCGTATTAACATGTTTGACATTAGGAGTTACGAATTTCATACATTTAGTTTTAGTACCATTTAAATCCAAATTATTAACATTAAACCAATTGACTAACTTAGCTATAGCATTATTTACTTCGTCGTAATTTAATAACTGTTTTTTTAATTTGAAAATTAATGAAGTATCATCAGCAAATAATACTATATCATGGTTATCCCCTACTATGTAAAGTAAGTCATTAATATATACAAGAAACAGAAAGGGGCCGAGAATCGAGCCCTGAGGCACGCCCATTTGTACAGTCGACCCGGAAGAACTCATACTATTAATGACAACTTTTTGCATTCTGTCACTTAAATATGAAATAATTAATTTAAGAGCATCACTTCTTACACCGTAGTGTTGAAGTTTCCTGATTAATGTTTCATGGTGAACACAATCGAAGGCCTTGGATAGGTCACAGAATATACCTAAAGCTTGCATTAAAGATATATTTAATAAGCTCAACACCAGCATCAGTTGTCGAGCGACCCTTTGTGAAACCAAATTGATTTTATGAAGTAAATTATTATTTACATTAAAAAAATTTACATTTGATCAAGAATAATTTTTTCAAAAATTTTACTAAGTGTTGGCAGTACAGAAATAGGTCTAAAATTAGCGGGGTCCAATGTACTGCCAGATTTAATAAAGGTATTACTTTACTATGCTTCATTAAATCAGGAAACACACCAGATTTGATACTAGTATTAATAATAATAGATAGTTGAGGTGCAATTGCATCTATTATAGACGCAATAACTTTAACGGAAATCCCCCACAGATCGGCGGTTTTCTTAATATCAATAGTCTTAAAATATTTTAGAATATCTTTTGATGACACTTTATGAAATGTAAAATTCTTTGTACACGCATTTACATTTTGTTTAAGTAATGATTTGGCGACGGCAGGAGAAGAATTCAGTGACTTAGTGGTTAAGATAGGAATATCAGTAAAATATTTATCGAAAACCATTGCAACGTCCTGGTCTGATTCAGTTAATTTATTGTTAAAACTTAACTTATAGTTCGAACTGCGAGAGTTAACCTTACCAGTTTCACTATTTATTATACTCCATGTCATTTTAATTTTATTAGAAGCCGTCTTTATTTTGTTGCTCAAATACAATGACTTGGCTATGGAGCACACTCTTTTAAATATTTTGGAATATTTTTTTACATATTCCTTAAATTCGACGCTAGGATTATATGACCTTTCATTGTAAAGTTCATATAACCTTTGTCTACTCTTATGGACTCCTACTGTCGCCCATTCATTAAATGCCTTGCGATTATTCAAGGAGAATGTTTTAGAAGTAAAAGTATTATTAAATTAATTGAAAATAAGCTTAAATAACGTTCCATACAAAAAATCTGAATTATTTTGGTATGAAAGTGATGGAAGTTTTTTTACTATGTTACTTCTAAACTTCTCCAAGCGACGTGCATTTACTGGAACAAACACTACTTTTTTATTTACTTGCTTTTTGTGAACATAAGGTAACGAAACTAATTGTCCACAGTGATCAGAGCTCAATTTTTGAATAATACATTTATTGAACGGCTTAACATTTGTAAAAATGTTATCTATACATGTTGCACTAGATTCAGCAATACGCGTTGGCTCCAAAAACAAATTAAAAAGACCATAAGATTTAAAATGATCTTAATTTAATATTGGCGGAGGAAGCTTCTAGGAGATTGATATTAAAGTCTCCACATATTACAACAGATTTATTATGTTTATTAAGCTTAGCAAAAACTTCCTCCAAAATTTTTTCAAAAGTATCATATAAAGAACATGGGGGTCTGTAAACGCTTACAACAATGAGGTGCTCAAACTCAACACATGCCATTTCTACAGTTCGCTCAACAGAGAGGCTCACAATATCTTTACGTTCTTTACATGATAATAATTAACTAACTAAAATTAAGGAGCCACCTCTTAAAACCGTTTCTCTATTGAAAGAACTGAACACCTGGTGATTACTAAAGTTAAACATTAAATTATGAGCTTTTAACTAATGTTCAGTAATACATAAAATATGAATATAGTTGCTATTTAAGAACTACAGACGTAATATTTAAATATTATTATAACTGATCAGCTGCGGAGGACATATTATTAGTGCCATGGGCAAACAAAGAAGTTGTTCAACCTTCCAGTATCAATATAACGCTGGCTGATAAGATCTGTGTCGCTAGACTTTGATAAGGAATCACAACACAGCCAGATGCGATCTTGATTTTGCTCGAAATACTCGAAAGAGACGAAACGGGCCACACTGAAAAACAGCGGCTGTGGTTCGCCAAGCTAAATGCTGAGTGCGAACTCTTTTCGTCACGTTTGGCAACATCTAATACTTTTACGCACATTGAATAAAACTAAATTTTCGGATTTTTTCGCGTTTCATTAACTACTGTTACTTATTTTTATTTCCCGACGTTTCAGGTGCTTTACAGCACCCATGGTCACGGGGGGGGGACTGAGATGTTTGACGTCCCAATGTCATAGTTAGCCCGGCTACCTTCAGTTTTTTAATATTAATTTTTCGGTCCGATCTACGCAAAACGATCTAATACTTTGTTATTAATAACGTTCAAAATGACAAAATATTATGTACAATTATGCCGTTGCGCTTATGTGGCGAGATAAATATTTTCTTTCTTTATTTATTTCTTTCTGCTGGATTTTGAATCAAGGACCCCGTGGCCCAGTAGCGAGGTACTTTAACCACTAAATCACGATTGACAAAACTTGAACTGTATATCACATGTTATAGAAACTCAGCGAGTTATTTTTGCCTGTTATACAAATATCTGTCAGTAACTACGGGAACGCGAATCCCGGTTGTTTATAAATAAACACCCCGAGGCTGGAGAGCCACGTGTGATTTTTGCAATAATACTGACGCGGATAAGCTTGGGAAAACATACGAATGTTTCATAATACCGTTTTGTGCGATGTTAAGAAATCGTTGAATGTCGTCTGATTGCACCGAGATGCAATACAGGTCTCGGGCCTCGGGGTGACCCCATTACCCGGGTGTCCTCATGTCCCATTATTATGGGACAGTCCTTGTTGCCTATTCTAGGCTAATAGCATACCGGGTTTGTTCCGTATTAGGTGATGTATTGTTTCCGTAGTTAACCAACTACGGAAAAAGGTGGTTATGTTAAGAAATCAACTTTTGTTATGAACAATCAGTTTAACTAAGTACCGGTAGAGACGTGCACTCAGGTGTCACACCCGGCCTTTATCTGTATAAAACACTGCACTTTACACACGTTCAAAAAAATACATTAAACATTTCCATTCAATACAAATTTATACTCTCGTAAAATTTCTATAATTTTCAAAATATAAGAATGTGTATTCATCTCATCTTGTAATATTTTAATAACAGGTATAAATATAAAGTTAAGACGTTAATAACTACCTAATATTCGAGGTAATAATTTATTGATGATACTCACTCCAATGTATTTTTTTCACTGGTCACTCAACTTGAATATTTGCCTTTACTTATATTTATATTAATTAATACCTAATTTAAAAAATATATTATTTCTGATTTACTTTCACTACACAAAAAACGAGCAACACTAAAGCTTTGTTTTAAATTTTGAATTTACTGATGCGCGGGAAATGATCGGGTTTGTTTATAGATTTTTTTTCTGATATTCCGAGGCAATGTCACATCACATTTGGGAGCGGCAGACGACTGTTTTAAAGAACCTATGCTCTTGACCTTGCGCTACTCTCCGGCAAACTGAAGCTGTTTTTCGTCCACGCCGCGTATTTTATAACGCACTATTGTTTGTCATAACTTTTACTGTATACGACGATAGTTATGGCGCTGCATTGTATGTTCGCGTGCATCGGAACACGGCATGACAGTGCTATCATTAGAATCATTAAAAGGCATTAAAACGATTATATTGTTAAGTGATCTAAAAACACGTGTTTAAAGTTTTATTTATTATGATCGCCTTGAGGAAATCAAATTGATTTCTTTAACAGATTTTTTTTAATTATTTTATGTTATATCGGTAGTATCTAAGATATTTTATACTGATCGAACTCTGAGAGTGAAGGAACAGAGACTGCAACTGTGTATGCGCACATGTTCTCGCACAATAATCCTGTCTTTTGCAGATGACTGGTCTTCTGCCTTCTCAAATATATAAGCGCTTGTATCCGATCGGAAGACTATAAATGATGTACAGCACTTTATGCGTATACATTATCGTAAAATTTAAAGATAAGTATAATATATCGATCTAAATTATATCCGCTGCCAAAATTACTTTAAAGGCGTCACAAGTAAATTGAAATCGGAAACTGAACTGGTTTATATCAAAACGTATAATTCGGGTTTTTTTAAAACGTTACCACCGCACTTTAATTGTCTCAGTGTTTATGGAGGCGCTTTACATACATAAATCGCATATGGACTAATCTCCACACACGGAACATCTACTTGTAGGCAGTAGTGGTAATTATTTGTTACGAGTATGTACGGGTTTCGAACCCGTGGCTTATCAGCGCCGCAGCTAAACTAAATGCTTAACCACTGCACTAGTGGGCTATGAAACAATTGGAGTTTCTTTTTACCCGACTGCCCAGACGGAGGGTAATGTTTTTCAAGAGTATGTATGTATGTGTGTCTGTTTATTTATCACGCTCTGTAACCTAAACGACTTGATGGGTTTTAACATATGACACAGGCTACAAAATTTTTCTCTTTTCAGTAAATATTTTTACGCAGTCGTGTTTTTTTCAATCGCTGTTTTAACGACAGGGCTTGTTTCTTTTTTTAATTGTAAATATCTCCATAATTTGCGGAACAATAAGTTTTTCATTACAAGAGAAATAATAAATTGTAATATAATCGGAAATTCTAATTCGTATGTGATATCAAATCGTGAACATTTTTTTTTAAATTTATTACGTTTAAAAATCATAAACGTCAAACAAACGTGCTATCAATTCTACGTCGAACTTTAAATTCAATTAATGCAACATTTCAAATATACCAAATATAGACAACAATAAAGACAAGTATTTGGAAATATTTTGTTTAGGATATTGTAAACACTGTCACTGGCTAATAAATCAAACTCACTCATCAAAACCTGCAGGGAACTTCCCGTTAACCTAAAATCATATTATTTAGCTAGAAACAAGATCTCACAATACAACCATTGACGCCAAGCGAGTTAGCAACAGCAGTTTGTTATTTTTATTCATCTGTTATAAGGAAGATGCTGCATTATGCGGTAAATTTTACCTCTGTCGCCTCTTACGACACCCACGAGATCATATAGGGTGGTGGTAGTAGTAGGTTGGGTTAAAAAAGGCGGGTTCGCATCACTGTTGTCATATCGTACCTCTCCTCTCTTCATCGGTTTAGGTATTTTACATCCGTCATATACAAGATGCTATACCGCCATTTTTTCACCACGGGGATTTCTGACCTTACCATATTCAACCCTTGTATCGCCCGCGGAACGAAACTGGTCTGATATTTATGTCACTTATATTATTTTAGTTTTTATACATTCCAGAAAGGGCGCGCAAGAATTTCATTAATTCCTCCCTCCCCATGCGGTTTTTGGATTCGATTAACTAGCAACACTAGTATATCGGAATGTACCCAATAGGTAAAGTTTTTTAACATGTCGCCTTGAATTTTGTGTTCGGTTTTTTTTATATAATCTTAAATTAGGAAAATTAGTATATCAGAATGTACCAAATAGATTAAGTTTTTTTACATGTCGCCTGGCAGTTTGTGATCGGTTTTATATACCTAATCTTAAACTAGCAACACTAGTATATCGGAATGTATGAAGTAGATAAAGTTTTTTTTTACATGTCGCCTGGCATTTTGTGTTCGGTTTTTTTATAGAATAAGGATGAGAAACGAGCACACAGTCCACCTGATGGTAAGTGTATGCTGTGGCTCATAGACATAGATATTTATCCTCGATTAAGAATTAAAACGCATGCTATTTACGCTTTTATTCTGTCAGAGCGTGGTTCTACACCGACCGAATCGATTCATTCGTGCTACAACCATAATATAGCTGCACCATGGCTCTACCACGTAGGTTAAATTAGGTATTCTTGAAAAGTAGTATCTATTTTCCCTTTTCTGTTCATATATGAGATGATTATTGCCTTCTTCTTTGTTAACGTGGAAGAGCCCGCTTCAGCTATATTATGCTTGTATCATAATTTAAATTGGGTCCAATTAATTGGATAAGATAGCCCAGAGTCATGAAGTTGGCTATGTTTGAATTCCGTGTCTCGGAAAGCACGTAAAGTCGTTGTTCTTGCGCCGGATCTCTCTCCGGTCGTATCGAATTATTGTCCCATCGGACTATGAGAGTGAGGAAATAGAGACTGCACCTGTGCTTGCGCATACACTTGGGCACTTTAATCCTCTCTTGCGCAGATAGCTAGTCTTCTTTGAGACTGGCAGCCGTGACCGAAATCGGTCTGGGGGACGTTATTATTATAACAAGATAATACATATCTTGTTATAGACAATGAGAAGTGTGAAATCATCAAAAGTACATTTTTTTCCGCAATCTCTTGCGGTCACATTAATAAAATATACTTTTGATAAACCTATTGCAACTGTCGTACAAGTAACAATTTCACGCTGTTTCGATTATTCACCACTATACTTATATATTTCATTTTTATTTCCGATTCTAAACACACATATTTGCTTATTGCTCTGAGAAATTTTCCAGAAATAGTCTACGATACTTAGGTCCAATTACGTAGCATGACTACACGTCCTTGGCGAACTCTTTAATGTCATTACAGTGTACTCTTATTTACCCATTTCAAAAATCTTAATCATTTTGAAAAAATCTTATCGAATTGATGATGAAACGAAATTGCCTTAAAGATTTGCAACGAAGATATTTGGCATACAAAACTGTGAATGTAAAAGTGCCAAAATTTAGTTTTACTAGAAATGGAAGGATTATGTGAAAATGATGAAAGAATAACTAAAGAATAGGATATATATGGGTAACATAATTCAGTTATCCTGTATACTATGAACTCGTTTTAACTTTCGCGGTGACGAAGTATCATAAGTAGCATAAGTCATAATCTATGTACACACACACACACATATATATATATTTTTTTATATATATATATGTACATATATGTATATATGTATACATATTACAATAATATATTTACATATAATACACAATTATATGCCAATAACGACCAATAAAGTCGAGAAATATTGCCATAATATGAAACAGAACCTGAAACTAGGAAGAGTAAATCATTTTCTTCTTTTTATTTATATTGATATAATATAATATGTATATATACGACGGCAGTAATACATATAGTAATAATATAAAGAGCGGCGTATTTGGATCCTCTCTCTGTACGTCCAATTTATCTATTACAGATGTATCTAATGTTTTTATTCAATTCTTTTTCTTATCAGTTTTTGCGATGTGTTTGCCGACATCCAACCTCATGTGAGAGAAAGCAAACAGCTCTCGATCGCAACCAAACAATTAACTATTGCACGAATCCTTTGTGTGCAAATTAATACTATACTATTGGCAGCTCAAATCTCCGTTACAATTAGTTAGTGTAATCTTTTTCAGACTTGTTCTGTATACATAGAATTATCACCTTGTTGACGCTATATGACAATTACGTCTCGCACATATCAACGATACGATTGGAAAATTTCAACGATTCACATGTATAGAAAAAAAATTCCTTAAAGGAATCGGTTTCACATGCTCCTGTCGTAAGTTACAGCTTTCAAAATCCTTCTAGATGACTTATACAGATTTTTTATAGTAGGCGGGGGTAAACGAGCATGCAGCTCACCTGGTAGTAAGTGTAATGTGCATTTAAAAAGATTAGGCTCTTTTCTTGGTGGTCCCCAAGTCGTATCGGTTCGGAAATATCGCTAGTGGTGGCCGACTACGCACAAAGTTACATATTATATTAACATAGTCGTATATGAGGCAATTTTATTTAATCAATTAAACCGACAACTCTCTTAAACGATGCGAGCGGTACTGAGGTAGCGGAGTTTAAGATTTCATAGAATAAAAAAGTTGTTAAGCAAAATATTATTTAATTGACACTTGTAGTGTTAATTTCTTATCATATTATGTTGTCATTTGTAATAGTATCAATTGTTGTTTTCGCTCCAGATCTAACTTGAAGAATATAGTGATGAAACATTACGTACAGATAAATAGCTATGCCGAACGGGATCTAGGCTATATTATATTCGAAGAACTTTTAACATTGAAAAAAAAAAAAGATACACTCGTAAAATTATAAGTTGTGGCGGCGCTGTCGGCGCGCCACAAGCAAAACACACCGAAGCCTAAATCACGCTATCAACATTCCGATTCATAACTATAGAATCATCATATATATAGAACATCTCCCAACTAACACTCTGTG